GTGATATTCGGAATCAGCATCGTCGACTACCTATAGTCCACTCGGTTTCGTTGAAAAAGCGATTTATCAGTTGGGGTACTTCCCTCGTGAGATTTGTAAGACTGTTCCTATAATTTTTTTCAGTACGTTATGATTTGATCGTATGATTTGCAGTGATACGTGCAAAACTCAACGTTCAGATAAAATCGCCAGATATACAGAGTTGTTTACTTAGTAAACAGTCATTTACTGAAAATAATTTGTCGTATAGATCTGTAGCTCTGAATAAAATCATGTATGTATGCATTAAAGAAATTTCTCAAAAAGCACTTTAATACTCCGACTAATTTGAAATCTGTATGTTGTAGTTGTAGTTTTATTTTACACTGAGCAGAAAAAATAGATTAGAAATAAATTTAGCTATTTACTACTGTTTGTTTAAATACTTGTTTGTATTTCATATAGTTTTTTCTTACTTTGATTTAATTGATTGAATACCATTGTTTTTAATAATAAATTGTCCGCTAGTTTTTCCACCATGAAGAATATTTTTAAACGGTTCTTTAATTTCCATTGTTGTGCCATCTTCTTTTGTAACAACAATTTTCCAAATTGGCATACCTACTGATTGATCAGCTTGTGGTGGAGTAAATATTTTTGGTTCTGCATTCATCACACCATTTCGTGCATTTAATTTGCTTGAAACATGTTCGGTATGGTGATAATTATTACCATCTTTACTAAGATCAGAGGCCGTATAGTGAACTTCACAATCAACTGGTTTAGGGCACTTATTTGTTATTCTTGCTGAGAAAATTAAACCTCTTTCGCTTCCACTTGCACGACCAGAAGTACAACCCATGTTCAGTACTTTTAAGAAAATATATTTTTCAACAAAACAAAATTATATACGTATTTTAACGTAAATAGGAAAAGATATATGAAATAGTTGTATAGAGTGCATTCAGCCGTATAATAATTAGGTCTCGATTCACTTCTTGTTTGAGAAAAAAAGAAAGAAAAAAGACACGATTCCTTTCCTTCTGCTTTTTTTGTTAAATGACAGTAAATAACACCTTGTGTATGCGGTTCCGTATTCTATTTGTGCAAAGGGTGCAGTGGCTTTAGTTAACATTAATTACATGTGCAGAAAACAGATTGAGGTTTGACAGATTTCTAGATACGTCACTTCCAAAAGTTTGAGTAATTAAGATGGTCGTCAATTTCGTTCTTCCAGCTTTATGAAACCGACACTTGTGACTGTTTTCTGCACAGATAATTAATGTTACCTGAAGCCACTACACCTTTCGCACAAAGAAAATACGGAACGACATACACAAAGTGTTATTTACTGTCATTTAACAAAAAAAGCAGAAGGAAAGGAATCACGTCTTTTTTTCTTTCTTTTTTTCTCAAACAAGAAGTGAATCGAGGCCAAATTATTCTATGGTTGAATACACTTCATACAACTATTTCATATATCTTTTCCTATTTACGTTAAAATACGAAAAAATAATTCTGTTTTATTGAAAAATATATTTCCCGGTACATCTTATGAAATAAATTGAAGCCGCGAAAATATCACTCTCCAGTAGTATTAGGACACCCAGGCCCACATTGATCTCAACGTTTTATATATCATTTTGTGGCCCGTGAAATTCTCTATGAAGGTGGTATACAGTAGTTGAGGTTTGCTTTGGGTGAAAGAGACGAAATGAAGAAATACCTTAAGTAAAGTGCATCTAAGGCGAGAAAAGTTTAGATGCGAAAATTTGTCCAGGAGGGGGGGGGCAAAATCAGTTTTCTAAGGTGCTAGTTTTAATCACGGAGAAAAACTTCATCAGACCTGTGAATTTTAGAAAATATCCGATACACCAAGAAATAGGACGATACATCAAAATAAAATGATGGTGATTGACGATACGATTCAGGCTCTGTTAAATATATTTGATATGCAATTTCTAAAGCTTTTGATGTTTTGAGTTTCGTCATATGGTGTTTGAGGATTTCAATCTTTAACAACAATTGTTTGAGTATGAGTTTGTTTGAATGATGTTGATTCTGATTGGTTTGATGAATTGGATGCTGTTGAGTACGTCTTCTCTGTACTGTATGCATGTCTAGTTAAAGCGGGTAACTCGTCATCACAGGACATTCGATCCGCTGAAATGTAGACGTTCGGAGAAGACCGAGCCGGTGTTCTCCCATATATATGCCGCTGATGTAGCATTTCTTCTTCATCAACAGGTCTTCGAAAGTCTAGAGAATTCTTCGTCGAAGATCTCCTCTTCAGCAGGCATTTCATATTCCAAACTACACTCGTCAAGTATAGAGGAGCGTTCATCTGTCGTTGAAACAATATCTAATTTTTTTTTCTTCTGTTAAATGCTTAAATAAGATCTGTTTCCGTTATTTTAATCATACCAGTGCCAATGATTTTGCCAAAAAATTTAATACATTCAGTATTTATTCTCTTTATTTGTATTTATTGTTTCTTGTTTATTTTTTTGATAATTAAAATAACCATTATATAATTTTTTTCTTGTTATTGATAGATGTATTTGATATTCAATATGTTGTTGTAAGGTTTCTGAAACAATAATTTTTTTAAACAGATTTTTTATTTTTTACTAATATATTTGTTGCAACCAAATACAAGAGATATTCAGTGACAAATACTGTTATTATTAGATGGACATAGTTCTCATAAAAGTGAACGTACTTGCTGTTCAATAGCTGTGTGAATTAAACGAATACTTTTATGAGAACTATGCCCATCTAATAATAACAATATTTGTCGCTGAATATCTCTTGTATTTGCCTTCAATAAATATATTAGTAAACCATTGATGAAATCTTTCTGCTCCCATCCATCCATTTGATGGTAAATTGTAACCTGTATCTAAATGTATGCAAATTAGGATAATGGTCTGATTAAATTCTAAAGGACGCTCGTTCGTAAATACCAATAAATAAATACCATGTTCGTTTAATTCAGACAGCTATCGAACAGCAAGTAATTCTTCTTTCTTTACTACCTCACACCACCCACATCCTACAGCCTTTAGATGTTACTGTGTTTAAATCAACTTTTACAAAATGAAGTAAAATCCAGGAAATGTAAACTAACAGAAGGAAAAAAACACCAAATCAACGAAACAGCCAGTGACAAGAAAGCAAAGAACTACTGATCCTTCTGAATCAATTCAAAAACTCTAATTTCAACAATTATTAAGACGCCTGAAAACCGATTAATGCCTAACTGGAGAGCACATTTAGCACTACAAATCTGCTTATCTGAATTTGTCTGGGAATATAGCCTTTTTTTCTAGGCGTCAAAAGTTTACTATTTTTAATACACTGATATTTATACAGGCACTACCCACGGAGAAAGTTTTCGAATAAAACCGCGGTTACTCGCGTTTTTTCGAATGACACCGCGGTTTGCTGCAGGGAAACCGCAGTGAGCTAAAAAAACGCGGTTAACCGCGGTTTTATTCGAAAATTTTTTCCGTGGGTACCACCAACTAACCGTCTATATCCAAATGTTGATTTGTGAGCAAGCTTATAAAGAGAGGAATTGATTGTATATATTCCTGTTGCTTAAAAATGAATAATGTAAGGAAACCCGCTTTAGAATTTAACCCCCCTTCTCTGTGAACGGCAATATTTTGTTAGTCATCGAAAAAATAAAACGTTTCATCGAGTTTGCAGAACATTTTATATATAATGGGAGGTTTCTCATGGAATCACCCAGCAGTCGAAGCTTTTTTATCGCGGTAATGGTAAGACACATTTACCGAAAAAGCGAATTGTATTCTTACCGAATTTTACTCCCATAATTTTCTTTTTATCGAACTTACTTTTCATAGATATTTTGGGCTGATTATACAATTAAGTGGATTCTATAATGTATGCATGTTGTAAGATGGTTCACAGCAGCAGAAGTTTGAAATGTCCTAACATTCTTTAAGAAAGAAGCAATGGTATTGAAACTTATGGAATTGGATTTCAGTGCTCATCAAGAGAGTTTGTTATCATCAAGTAGAATGAACGGCGTGGTTTCTGTTTAGAAAAAGTCGACAAATATTTTTCACAACCATTTCTGCGATAGTATAGCTCCTAAAAGACAACACTAGGGTTCTGAATCCGAAATAAAAGTTTTAGATCGTAATGATAATATATCAACACCCGTAATATAATATCAAAGTTTTATGTATTGATATCAGGTATTAATAGTATTTTATTTGGTTTTGATTAATGGCTTTACATGCATAACTTTTGCAGAAAACACTCTACTATTTCATGTTGATAAGTCCCTTCGTGATGTAATAGCAAGCATCCAATGCCATAATGAAAAGTACCAGGATTGTTAGGAAGAATCCGGCAATTCTTCCATAGGTTATTCTAAATATGTAACATAAATTGTGTAAATATCGCGCTATAACTATCATAATACCATAGACGAGTGCACGTGCAAATAGATGATTATAATAAGGTAGACCGCCTTCTTTCTTTACTTGCCAAGTCCAAAAGATGATTGTGTACAAGATCAACATGTAGGGAACATACTCAACGTCATTGGCCAAACAACGATTTATTCTTCCACCCAATGACCAGTCATTGTTGATATCCGTGTGCACTTCACCACCAAACTTTGTAATATCTTCCGGTACACGAAATCGGCCAGCACGCTTCCTCACCACAGCCATAGTGATCAAAAGAACAATATTTTTCAATATCAACATGAAAATAATCCATACAGCAACCGTTTGAGCTTTTTTCACTTCGTAGTTGTAATCGTATGCCATAATTGTCTTCTTTATCCAAGTGAGTGAAGAGTAACAACACGTATATAACAGAAAAGTGAGAATCTCTTATCTACCTGAGAAAGAAAAAAAGAAACAGTTTAAGATAGAGAGAGTAAACATCAAATTGACTAATAATGATCCTAGGTGGTTGTTATATTATGCTAAATGTTATGTTGTAGAATCCACTTAATTGTATAATCAGCCCAAAAAATCTATGGAAAATAAGTTCGGTAAAAAGAAAATTATGGGAGTAAAATTCGGTAAGAAATCAATTTTTGCGGTAAATGTGTCTTACCATTGATAACAAACCGAGATAAAAAAGCTTCGGGCGTTGTCTATGTTATACACGGTATGAATATTAATATTTGAAGTTTGAATTGATTGACCCAAGCATAAAAAAAAATCTAGTATCGCCTGATTCATCTAGATTACCAGATTTTTACTCGATTGCAACTACTGTATAACGACAGTGGAAATCTAGTAACTGGGTGATTACTAGATTTTTTCTAGTTACACCTAGCGATTTATCGCCCGATAATCGATCGATTCAACTATTACTAGATGCGCCTGCAGACGCAGCTAGTTAAAAGTCCCTTTTCCAGCTAGTAATCTAGATGAAAACTAGTCGTGTATGGCCCGATTACAGACGAAATGTACCTAGATTTTTCTCATAGGTGATATTTGCTTGGGGAATTAAGAACTTAACAACAATCTTGTATAATTGTACTCTGTCGGAATAAGAGTTGTACACAAGTTGTAAGAAGTATATAAATATCCTCATAGACCTATTTACGATGGCATTCTGCTTATGCTTGATGGGCCATTCTTTATTCAAAAACGGGAGTGACCCAAGTCGACCTCTTATGCGCCCCGTCCTTTTGCGCACTTTCAATTGGATTTTAGCAAGTTCGGTTTATTAGCGACAACAGCTTGAAAACGCTTTGGTCTTTCACAGAAACCTGTTCGCACTTCACGGAAAACGCTTCGATATTTTTATAAATATACGTAGTAATGCGTTTTCGTTTGGTGAACGTTCTTTCTAGTTTATTAGACAAATTTTTTATTTTTTTATTAGCTAACTGAATTTTTATCCTGGTCTCATGTGAAGAAGGATGACGGCTAGGAGATGCACATAGCTCCCACCGATCCGCAGTAAAGATAAAGATTAATTATTAGTCCACGGTGAATATTTACTCGTATAGAATATATCATGTAGAGTAACATGTTCATCGTACTGAACATCTTTCCATAATTTTAACATAATTCTTTAAAAATGCAGTTGCGGTGTCATCATTCATAAATTCATGCATCAGAGTTACATTCATTTGTTCAGCGCATTGTAGTCCAATACATGTGCGTGTTCGATAAATTGCTGCTAGATCAGCCCCGTGTATCCTGTGTACCTCAATTTTACCATTATAGATATTATTATACGGATAACGACCATTATTAACAAAATCAAATTCTCATATTAAACCATTATAAAATGAGTTTTTAACTAATAGAGAATAGAATAATTTTGAATTGTCTACTAGCTTATCTAACCAGTGTATGTTAAAATAAACACTACCATCATTTATAGACTTTTTTGTTTGTACTATGCATTGTGTAGCAAATGACCAAAATTTTGTAGGTCTTAATGGAAAACGACCCATATTAACAGTTGCTGAACTAGCATAATAACCAGCGATTGATTTGGGTAATTGTAAATGTTTACGTAAATCACAGGGTACACCGACGGGAAATGTTTCTATGAATTCGTCATCACTAGATCGTAATAAAAATTGATGTTGGATTGTTAATAGTAGACAAGCATGCAATGGTCCGTGTATTGTTAATTGTTTAGATTGACAGATCTGTTTTAGGGCTTGATACGATTCTTTAGTGTCAGATTGAAAAATAAATTTACTTTCACTTGGTAAAAAATAATAAGGATAATTATTGGTGTTATTCGATGAACATGGTTCTTTTATAGGAAACGTGGATTTTTTTTCTTCTTTTTTAAAGCTATAGTCACTAAATATTTTCATCCAAAAATAAATATTGAATAGCCATAATTTTGGTGTTATATCTGCTAGAAACGGCTGTTGAACACTCCCGATGTTCAATTTCTTATTATTGGTAGTAGCTAATGTTAAATAATCATTGATGATTGTACATGCTGATCTTCCATCTGATACTCAATGATTATTGAATAAGATCATACGAAATAATTTATTTTTATCCGTAGAGCCATTCTTACTTAAAAGAAAAAGAAACTGAAATAAGGGAAAGATAATTGTTAATTGTTCATCAATATATGGATTTCTGTTACAACCCTCTGTACACAATCTCTTCCATTCATTTTCATTGTCGTCTGTATAATGAATAGAATAATATTGTTTCAATAATTCATCATTATTCAGAAATGAATCATTTGCAGAATAGGTCTCTAACAATGCTGTTTCTCGTCTAATACGTCTATATGGAGGATGACGATAATCAATACGTATACGTGGTCTCATACGTGGATGTGCGGTGAGTAATTGTTTTAAAACAGATGGAATATTTTCAATTAATATTTCTTGATCATCAGACATATGAACAGTAAAACCGAATGTATCCCAATTACCGTAGAAACAAGATAAACGTTCAAAACTAGATATGGTTTGTTTTGATTCAATCACTGAATGATAATATAAGCGTGAAATATTACTGAAGTGATGGAATTGATTTAAAATTGATGGAAGTCGCTTGGAAAACATATGAGAATCTGGATTTAACTGAAGAGAATACATACAAGATTGTCAGAGTAGGAAAAATACAATGATGATCTGATGACACATTCCAACCCCAAATACACGGAAAGCCTTTCATGATGCAAGAAAAAAGATATATCTGTGCATTCTTGCTTGGATGTGCATACTCATCCACATGTGGCAAATCTTGCCATGCACTTTGCACTTGGGACGGATGAAAAAAACACTCGGTGTACTCGCAGAACACAATTCTTATAAGCAAGTACATTAGCGTATTTCTTCATTGCTTAGCGTGCTTCGACATATTTCTTTGTATGCGTATAAATATGTGCGGATGAAGAACAACTTTTGCTCATATGCAGTGTTTTATAAGCACATACCACGATGTTATTGGGTGCGGCAGTTTTTTTCAAGAAAAGGTTTATACGAATGTCGCATCACAAGTTTACTACCCAGCTGGTAAAAAAATAGATGTACAAAAAACGGTTGAGATCTATAAAGAATATAAGCAGTATGTAGGAGTAAAATTTGTACTGCGGTAGAACAAGGTATTCGGAAATAGCTGAAACAATGTGTTTTTATGCTTACCAGATTTATTCATAGCTTTTTATGTAACTAAAACTTCGATAGCGTACTTATCACGTGTAAAAAGCGTATTGCATCTCCGAGTCATCTGCCTCCCATAGCCTTTTAAGGATTGAGCGTCGCCGATTTGGAACAGAGAAAAGCACCGAAATTCAGGGATCCAAAGAGTAACAATTTTACACCGCAATTGTCCCGATGGGACTGAAACATGTCTGTCCTACAGAAAAACGCGTAGATTCAAATCGATGATCATCGTCCTCTCAACAATATCAAGTTAACTGTTATGAGACTAACTTGCTGCATCTATATCTCTTTTTATATATTCCCTATTTCAATATGCATGATCAACTATTCAATACTTGATCATGCATAGTGGTGCCATCCAGATTATGCTTGATATGCATTTTGTGGTTATCAGCATTATTCAGGACAGATGGATCACTATGAATCAATAGTTTAATAGCATCATTTATATATAAATACGCACCTACAAGAAATAAATAATAGATGCTTTTAGCTATTACATAACGATACTGGTGATCATCAAAGTTCGCATAACTCATCTTAATCATATTTCTTAATTGGAATATTTTTATTCAACGTTGCTCTCAATTTTCTTAAATGATTTAATGTTGGGCATGAGCCGTATATTAATCCCAACTGATTTAAGATTCTAATAGCTTCATCAGTTATGTTATGTTGATCTCTAAAAGTTGTACATTTGATAAGAAGGTGTCATCGGTAAATTCATCGTCTTCTTCTCCTTCTGATTCATAATATGTCATATCATCATATTGTGTTTTTATCAATTTTGATCTATCACGTAACCTGTATGTAAAATACAAACGTATACATAATACATATTATCTTAGAATAAGAAGAAAATTTACTTTAGCGGAGATTGTTCATCAGAAGTAGTAGAATGCACATTAATTACGGCTGACTGAACGGTTTTGATACGCTTTCGTGCTTGACTACAAGTACTTGAATGAGTACGTTTTGGCTGAATTAATGTCGAGGTACCGACGCACAGATCATTTGGTTGGAATCCTGTGTCGTTCACCTATGAAGAAAAATTTCAGATCTATGCAACTACTTGCAATTGAATTATGAGAAATCATAAATTGCTCTTTTACCTTTTTCTTTTTAATTACAACGGTTATCGAATTACTCCTATAATGATGAGATTATATTTTGTGATGACCGGCTTCGATTTTGGCTTTACTTTTCAAGACATTTAACTTAAATAAGCAGAGCATTTTAAAGACGGATTTCAGAACAGAAGGTCATAGTAAGTTATGTTATTTTTCTGTACTGAGCCCAAATAATCTACCTGTAAGATACACGGAGTTATACTGAAGATACATCTTTAGACACACATGTTAAAAGGACGTTTGGCAAAACAGATCGACCTTTTCTGTCAAATTTCAGATTACGTATGATATGTAAGTATACATAAAACGGTATTTCTTTTACAAAGAACAAAATAAGAAAAAAAATTTTATATTTTTATCGAAACATTCGTTTAAGGAAGATAGTACTTAGTATGAAATTAATTTGTAATCCGTCAACTTGATGAATTAAAACCGAATTAATTACACGAAATTTAATTTAACCTTTTATATCAGTTTAAAACACTGAATTGGAGCATCATATAAAGCTATTTTCTGAAACTGAATACTGCTCAGTTTTTGAGATATGATGCTGTCAATATCCTTGATCGATGCAGTGAAAATTAAAGTATTTCTTTCTTGTTGGTATAAGACTTTTTTCTAATACTTCGACTTTCTGGCTTTCCCTTCTGACTAAAGTAATTAGAACAGAATCATTTTATTCTGCTAAATGAATATTTCAGGGAAGATATACAATTTATTCTTTGAATAAAATCAATCAAATTGAAAAGGAAGGAAAATGAAGGCGGTATGTTTAATGAGTGTATGATTGTACTGTCGAAAGTATTCACATCCAAGTGCAAAAAACAACAAAATTGAAGTATAGAGCTATTTCCGAATAACGTACTTTTCTCTGAATGATCTTCTTCAAATTAGCTTCAGGAAATTCATTGGCATTTGGTACATTTGAACGAAAATTCGCGAATACGACATGTGTTACTTTGTTTAATAGTGGATTATTTCGAATAATATCTGTAATATCAATGTCAACGGTCAAAGTGTCTTGAATATTTATGTTAGTCATTATGGTTAGCTTTCTGCTTGATTTTGTGTCGTTTTATAGTATGCATGTCTTTCAGTACAATTTCCATAGACAGAATGTTTCCTATTCCTAATAATTCCCATGTGTAAAATATAGAACTTGTTCACTTGTTAATTAAGAATGTAAAACAACTGACAAGGTGTCCCAGTGATATTTTGGAATCTATAGTTAATTAATTATTAAAGTTTTACTGCGTTCCCCTATGTTTCAGATACAAGACTGTATATAAATGAGATGTATTTATAATTTAATTTGAAGAGAGAAAAATACGGGAAATTATCATTTCGTCACGATGAATCCGAGTTTCGAATCTCCACCTTCGGAGTTCGGAACTGTATATTAAAGCATTTAAAGCAGTTTAGTCGAAGTTCGTAACCAAAAACTATCGGAAGTTCGTAAAGGACTTAACACGAGTTCGTAATGAAAATATC